GGTAGTGTGGTTTTTATATAATAATGGTGTGATCTCTCAATTTGTTTAATATATTGGAGGAAATATTGAATTGTTAGAGATTACATTGACGTAACCTTTCCAGAAGTAGATGATATAACACTAACAATCTTATCCTTAGTTAAGGTCTGGACTTGAGAGACACTCTTTGTCCTTATTTCTTTAATTGACTCAAGTCATTTTAGTTTGTAAAATGGCTGCTTGACCTTGACTTGTGCTCGAGTTGAGTTGGATTTATCTTTTTGTGTCGTCGTCGAGGAAGTCCTCTTTGAAGATGACTTTATTTTTAGTATCATCAAGACTAGTTGATTATATTTGTTAAATAAATATGTGGATGTGATAACTTATAAGTGACACAAATTTCGCTATATAAGATTTTATGCAATTTTCGCAAGTTATATATCTTATTTGAAAAAATGTGTCAATTTTATAATATAAAATATGAAAGATTTCAATAAATTTATTTAATGGTGTTAAATAGATTTATTTAACGACTACCAACATCTTTTTTAAAATTATTCACGTTAAGAATAGGACTATTGAAACACAAGGTTTTAGAACTTATCTAAAAAGACAGGTGTTTGGGTCTTGTTGGGCTGGGCCAACCCTTTAGATTCAATATTCGGCTAAGGCCAACCTGGAAAGTATTAACACATGAGATGAGCCTAGACCAGTCCAACCCACAATCACGCATATTTGTAAGTATGCCTATTAATGGATACGAATATTGACCGATCTAAAATTCGAATCCAACAATTCGATGAATTTTATTTTTGTGGTTTATATCTGAATCCATTAATAATCCAAGATTCATACCGACCCAAATAACTTAATTAACTAAATCATAACAAATTCTATCTAAATTTCTTTAAATAATCACTTAATTTATTTAATATTTATATAAAAATCTATATAATAAAACAGAAGTGTGTTTGAATTTTATCCCAGTCATATTTTTTCCCTCAAAACCATCACCAATCACGTATCTCACCCATCATCCCTTTATCAAACTCAAACGTTAAATCACATCACTCATTTCTATTATATGTTTAATCATTTATATATTTTCTCTCTAAAAATATCACATCACTCATTTCTATCATATATTTAATCATTTAATATTTAATTAATTTGTAGTTAATTTATTTTGAAAAAATTTAAAATAGTGAGATCGATTTTTTTGATGCTCGAATTTTATATTTTATCGTGCTTTCAGGAACGGGTTGTAACTAGTATACAAATAATTCGAATTGGATCATAATCAGATTGAATATATGTATATCAAAATTCGAATTTGTGAAATATAAGATTTCAATTTCAGATTATCAGTAAAAAAATATTAACTCATCTCCGACTAATTGAATTCAGAGATCAAATTCGGATAAGAATCCGATCAATTGACAGAACTATTGTGAGAGACAATCAAGTAATCATTAAGTGACGTCTTGTTAATGAAACTCATAAAAAAAAATTTGACCATTCATAGCTTTATTGGTTCACAATGTTATGGTCTACCAATATAATTAAGTAAAATTAACAGAGAGTTCATGCAAAAAAACAAAAAAGTTGGAAATGTATAGGTTTCATGTTGGATTTTTATCGTATTTAACGTGTTTTGTATCAAATTTTAGTCAATCAATGACTAATCCATTTATAATGGTTTGGTCTGTATCGTAAAATTTGGATAGACTTATATATTTATTAAACAGATTGACCGATCAACTTGATTATTATCAAAACCTATTAAAACTAAACCAAAAAATCCATTGATATCCCCAACTTTCACTCCACTACCCCCACATGTAATTGGAAGCACTTTTCACATGGACATTGCAAACTGGATGTGCAAGTTTTCTGTAAGAAGAGCATGCTTAAAAGGAAGATATGCTCATGTACAAGCTTCCTTGCTGCCTACAGATGCGTTTCTTCGCACAAAAGAAAGAGGCCTTTGCTAGGAGCTGTCAAATCTAGATCTTCCCCATTATATTTTCAGTCGGTTTTACTTAAAGATTGATTATTTATCATTAATAGGTGAGAGACCCACTTTTAAATAGATAGTCCCACTTAATTTAATGGTAGGTGATTTACCATCGAGTGAAAGAGTAATGAAGAGGATCTCGACTTAATACTTCCGTTTTTGTCCCAACGTGTAGGAATTGAGAGCTCTCAGTGAGTGGTTGAGCATACATGTGAATTTGATTAATTAGATATAAATTAATATTTTGAATTATCATTTAAGAACAATGCTACCCAGACTTAAAAAATTGACTTAAAGATTTGATTTGATGATGTGATTGTAATATTTGTCATTGATTTAGCTGTGGGTCCTAGTATTTTTTGCGACCCACTACCTATTTAATGGTAGCGATTCATCAATTCAGTTTTTAAGTCAATTTTTTAAATTTATTTAACATTCTCCATCATTTAAATCCATTACATCATAATTCATAAATTCGGTTCGATAAAAATTAAGTAGAAATTAATACATAATTTACTCAAATTAACATGCAATCGTATTATTTTGATTGGATCAGATTGTCGATACCCAGATTGGAATATGGATTGTGAAAATAAAATCTGTTGGATAATTCGATCGGAACTTTTGAATGAAATTTAAAATTGCATTATTTAGAATCCGATGATAGAGTTTTGCATATAGTAAAAAAGCTGAAAAGCTTAAGGATGGAATCCCTCACCATATGAAACAAGTAACATACACAAAGCAAAGCAAAATATGCCAGGCCTCTTTTACAAGGCTTTATATGCCATACAGGAGGAAACCACCAACCAAGACCACCCTCTCCTCAAAGAAGAAGGGTTCAAGTTCAACAATGATGGACTGGGGACCAGTACTGCTTGGGCTAATTCTGTTCATACTTCTCCAGCCGGGGCTTCTCTTCCAGTTGCCGGGGAACTCCAACCACGTGGAATTCGGCAGCTTCAAGACCAATGGAAAGGCTGTGCTAGTCCACACCCTAATCTTCTTCGTGGCCTATGCCATTTTCATCTTGGCTGTTGGTATACACATCTACGGAGGTTGATTACGTGACATGCATAGTAAGCAAGCAATACATTTGGTCCATAATTAAAGGCTATGGCTTCTTGAATTGAACTCAGTAAGAGTGTCTGGATTTGTTTGTTCTCTTTAATGATAGTTGTGTTCTCTTGTTTGGTTGGTCTATTGTGAGCTTTGGGTATTTTGTATATGTTTGTTTTTTGATTCTTATGACTTTATATCTAAATTGTAAACTATGATCCTTCTCGTACACAAAAAAAGTAAGTAAAAACTTGAACTCTATTTGTATCGATGTTACTCTAGCTAGATTCGATTAGATTCATGTTTCTTCCCCTTTTTCTTCTATCTTGTCATCAATTCAAACCAAATAAAGCGAAGGAAACTCTATTGAGACAGACATTCACATCTACATTAATAAAACTTTAAAATTTATATACAGAAATTAGTGAGACAAACTAAATTGACAATTCAATGTATCAGCATTCAACGCTTGGTCTGGTGACAAGCAAATCATAATTTAGAAATCTTGTTTGCCAATTCTCACCCTCCATGAAGCAAGTTCATCTACACTTTCATCACTGGTGTGGTGTAGGATGAGTTCTCAACAAGGCCAAAAAAGTCACCACCCAGATCATGACTGAAAAATGGTGGCCTTTGCTCTGTTGAGTGGCTCACAGTATCATAATTGGAAAAACCAGTATGAGCATTTTGAAGATGAGTTGGGAATGGCATGATTGTTTGATACCAAGAAATTAATGACTAGTTAACTTTCAGTGAACCAACTGTAATTATTGATCTCCATCTCTAAGGTGCGATTATAAAGCACTGCCCCAGTTCAATACTTTGATAGACGACTCCCTAAGAAGTTCTCGTATTGCACTCATTTAAAAAAAAAAAAAATTGATCTCCATCTTTGCAGTCAGATTTTAGAAGGATGACATGTAAATAAGCAAAAATACATGGAGTTATACATAAAATAACCAAAAAAAAAAACTCTACAGTTTGCATTTATAGACACCTTCCATCTCTGCAATCAGATTTTAAAAGGATAATATGTAAATAAGCCAAAATACATGGAGTAAGACATAAATAATAGAAAAATGAAGACAAACAGTTTCACCCCCATAGTAATGTGTTGTCTCGCATTGCCCCGTTATACCATTAACACTAACGTTTCTCGTTTTGTACCAGCAAATATAATTATTATTTCAAATTTCCCTCTCAAATATTAAATTTTAGACCTCAACAATGATTATTAGTTTCACATCAGGGCAAGTGTAGCCATAAAAATGCTGATTTTAGTATATAGTTACACATATTTTTGGTCCAAGAAAATTGATTTTTGAGAAATGGTTGGGGAGAAATGCAAGAAATCCGATAATGTAGGGGACAAAATAAGATCAGGGGCATAATCAGAGGGTGAATATGTAATTTTCTGTTATTTTTCTCCAATGTTAATCTTCCTCAAACATAACCCACTGGAGCTAAAACTGCAATCGGATCCCCCAACTAGACTCTCTCTCTCTCTCTCCCCAATGGCGACCTTAGCTCGACTATCTCGAAAAGCCCTAACTTCCACACTGTCCCATCACCACCTCCTACGCCGCACACTCGCCACCGAAGCAGCAAAAATCACGGAAACGCCGGATCGAGTGAAGTGGGACTACAGGGGGCAGAGGAAGATCATCCCGCTGGGGCAGTGGCTCCCAAAGGTCGCCGTCGATGCCTACGTGGCTCCCAACGTGGTCCTCGCCGGCCAGGTCACCGTCTACGATGGAGCCTCCGTCTGGAACGGGTCGGTACTTAGGGGCGATCTCAACAAGATCACCATTGGGTTCTGTTCCAATGTCCAGGAGAAGTGTGTGATCCATGCCGCCTGGTCTTCACCTACAGGTTTGGGATTTGATTTCGTGGATTTTGATCGTTCTTAGGGTTTTTGTTTGGTTGCTGAGAATGTGTTGGTGAGGGAAAGAAATTTGTTGTGTTTAATTGAGATTATCCGCGGTTCGGGAATGCGCTCAATGAGGAAACCCAAATTCAACCTAGTCTAAGACGGCTATTTAGATTAGTTTAGGTGAATTATCATCTTCTAGAAACCTAACTGCTTAAAATTGTAGGCTTAGCATAGTCAGCTGTGGAATAAGGGTTAACGGCGTGTGTTTTTTAGGATTTTGGAGATGCATTTTGAATTATTTGAATAGAATGCTGGTTAGGACGTATTGACTAGGTTATTACATTATGTTGGTTATTACCTTTTGATTGTTAATAATGTGTTAGTTAACTTGAAAGTATGACGTGGATTGATATATCTTAGCTAGAATGAAAGGCAGAGTTTTTACTGTTAATTCTTTTCAGAAAATGCTACTCCATGGCTCTACGATGTTCTATCTTTCAAGCTAGGCTAGTTATGGCTATCTTTCATGTTCAATGAGGGTGTTGTTAGTCTCAAGCTTGGTCTGTCCATATACATGCAGAAAAGGGGTTTTGAAATCAATTAAGTACATTTGTTATCTTTCTGAATTCTAGAGAGATCTATTGCCGGTCTAGTTATCGGGATCTAAAGTGGCTGAAGCATCCAAATGTAGCTCCGAAAATTTAGTGTAGATGAAGAGGAGTAATCGTTCATGCCAATTGGGTTTGGGACAAAGTATTGAGTCCACACACGAGGTATGTATGACTGTTCTATGTGATTTGGTAAAATGAAAAAATAATGTACATGCAGAATGTAAGCAGGGAAAGGAAATTGGGTTAATTCGAGGAAACTCCAGCTTTCATATTGGAAACAATAATGCACCAATTCAGTATGAGGCCAGCCAACTCCCTAGGTGATACTATTTTTCCAGCAATCAGCTCCTCAAATCTTAGTGATCCCTAAAATCAGCTCCCTACATCAAACGCTGATATTTCCTAAATGAAGTCCTAATAATGAAGCATGAATAATCTCATCATGCTTCATCATAATTTTTGATGAATCTCTTACCATTTAGTCATTGGAATACTAATAACTTCTGCCTCAAGTTACAAACACCTCAGAGTTCACCTTTTGAGTTCTCAACTTTCTTTATTCCCGGTTTTCTGTCCACTCAAATAGAAACCATGGTGAATTATGCAACCATGATAAAATTGTCTACTTTGTTTTTTGACAAAACAATTTCACACCCAATAAAATTCTACGGAGTAATGATCTTTTATCAATTTTGTATAATAGTGGCGATTGCTTATCATTTTGAACAAACATGCCTATTCCATTGTCTTGTTGCATTGTCTATGTAAGCTGCCCATTATGTTGTTACAATATAGGTAGTTGACAACAAGGTGAACATTGACAGTATGCTAGCTTGCATTGTTCCTCAAACAATGCGTGGCTTATTAAGGTCTCTCAGATTTTTGTGGAAGAAAGTCTATTACTGATGGGTTTCTTGGATAACTACCTTTCATTATTTAAACTTAATGCAAAGCTTCTTAAGTAAAGGCAGTGGTTGAAGTTTTCAATGGTACTCAGGGAGTTGCTGCATGAAGCCCCTTAACCTTTTGAACTTGGATAATTATGGTAGATAAGTTTTACGATGAGATCTGGGAAGTTGATTAGGTGTTTACGTTCTAGAGAGTGAGGCATAAGACAGAGAGACTTTTGATCATTTTGTTTAGGATGACAGAGTGGGAGAAACCTACATTAGAATTGGGCAAAGTGATGAAATGCAGTTTTCAACTGCAGATGATGATATTCTTCTTTGTGATGATTAGTATGGCTATTTGACGATCATCAGATTTTATGCTAGTTCATATGTTTTTGATGATGTGTCAAAACTGACAATAAACTATGCAACATTTTTGCTTTAGGCAGTTGGAAATGTCCCTAAATATCAAAAACCCAGTGAATTACCTAAAATGCAGGAAGAATGACCTTATTTCCATAGTTGTACCCTTGTTGATGTCCCATTAAATCATCTTCCTGTGGAGCCTATTGTTGATTGATTTGTGATTGGGAATTTTTTGTCGAAGGGTAGTAAGCTAATTTTGATCCATACTTTCTTTTGTTTTCGCTTTTCTTTTCTTTCCCTTTTTTGTGTTCTTGCTAAGGGATCTTGAATGTCTGAAGGGGTTATTTATGCAAATGGAGACTAAAGGGGTTCCAGCTTTACCTTGTGCATTTAGTTATGTTTTGTGTTGTAAAGAAGGGTTGTTGATAGGAGCTCTTCGATATCATGCCCCTTGAGTTAGTTGCTGAGTGCCCAGTAGGAGGGAAGTCTACCACAACTTTGAGTTGGAGGAGAATGATTAATTATGTATTACCATTTATGACTGATAATGAATAAGTTCTTGTTGTACTTTGGAATGAAAAACATTTTTCTCTGCCATGGATACACTTAAAATAGATCATTGACTAGCTGCAGTTTTTGTATTGGTGAGGCTATCAAGCCTTTGTATCGCATGACGTGTTAGACATAGAACATGAATAGTGGTTCCAGATAACATTTTCTGCATGTCATGGATGCTTGGTATATTGACATTTTTAATTAAAATGCTAGATAGAAGTCTAGGTTTGTCTCTTGTTTTAAATATAAAATCTCTCTTTTTTTTTTTTTTCAAGTTTCTTTCTTATTTCCCTTTTGCTACAAATAAGTAAAGGGCAGACCAAACTTTTGCAAGCAAGAAACTTGAGTTTTTATATGATTTATTGAGCACTTCAAGTGACTATTAAAAATGGAATTCAATACTTCAGGTTCGCTGTATGTCGGGCACTGCAGTGATTTTAAATGTGCTTGGTGTATTGACATTGCAGCTAAAATACTAGATAAAACTCAATTCAGTACTTAAACCTAAAAACATTCAGTATTTTGTAAGAACGTTTAATAACCAAAATTCACATCACTTAAAATTGTAACTCTCTTAAAAATAATAGTCTCCACCTACTTCTCGATTAATGCAAAACGTTATAGTTAATAAAAATTTTATGAACTTCTCATAATTGACAAAATTTGCCCTCAAATATTTTGATCTCTATCTATTTTATACCTAGCTTTTCATCACTCACCACTGCCACCGCCGCCCCCACTTCCATCACCATTACCACACTCTTGGCCGCCCACCACCATCTACCCACCTCTATTATTGTCGTAATCATCCCTAACTACCACCTCATCACCCCCACCACAACCTCACTACGATCTCCCGACAACCCACCACATTCCACCCCACACCAACACCGTCACCGTCACCACAGTCATGACTACCATTACTTCGCTGCCACCACTCAACCACCACCACAAGTGCCCCGACTTCCATTATCCTAGTGCCACCTTCCCACCACAACTAGCAATCCCATCATCGCCACGACCCTACCCCACCACAATCATTGCCACTATTATCCTCTATTACTACTTCCCCGTTATCATCACAACCACCCCAGCCACAACCCATTCTATCACCTTTATCCCTTACCATGACAGTAGAGTAGGTGGCAATGGGTGATGGGGTAAGAATTGGAGGTAGCGACAATGATGAGGGTGGGGAGGTGGATGGTGTAGGAGGTGATGCAGTGATGGTGATGGTGACGGTAATAATGTGTACAGGATGGTGGCGATGATTGTGAAGTAGTGGTAATGGTAGTGGTAGAGATGGTACAAGGGAAGGACAAAATTTGAAAAGTAATATTTTCCAGACTTTAGCTACTTGTATTGATTAAATAGTTTGATCCAATTTACTATTGAAATTTCAGTAGATGCTAAATATTTTGCAGATCAAAAAATTTAGCATTCGACACTTAAAATTCAACATTCAGTTTCAGTATTTAATTTTTAGTCCCTCTTTTGAAGTTCAAAAACTCCTTTTTTTTTCCAAGTTTCTTTGTTAGAACTTTTAGATTTTTGCATCATCTTTTTTTTTCCTTGCTTGTTTGGAGCATGTATTGAAACCCACGAAGGGACCTTTTAAAAATGTCAATTCAATCTCTTCGGGAACTTCACTTTCAAGTCATCACTTTAAGCATTTACTCCTGTTCTATGTACTGCCACAAGCTAATTGAATTTTTAGTTCACGGGAGATTTGTGTTGCTGGTAACTGTTCCAAATTTAGGTTGATCATTATTAAAAAACTGCAAAGAATCATTTTGCTTGCTATAAGTATGAATCTCATTATTCTGCATTTCTGTGAGCATGTTGGTGTGAAACTTTGCAAGGAGCATAGTTTTTATTGGAAAAATGAGAGTAACCAATTGTTGAATCGACTAATGCATTAGAATACAAAGAAAATGTGAAGCTTCAAGTGCTTTCTGGAGGTAATTCAAAGTCTGTAGAATTCTTATTTGCAGATTCCGACATCCTTGTATATGGTACTTGTCTTCTAGACACTACATAGAAATCATCATGAAGCACAAATATGCTCTTCATTTCATTATTAATTCTTATCATACCTCCCTCTTCTCTAAGTCAAAGGAAAAAGAAAAAAAATTACAAATGAATGTAGTGTTGGAATTTCAGTTTACATTGTTTGCTGTCTTTCCATATGTCAGGGCTGCCAGCAGAGACATCAGTTGAGAGGTATGTAACTATTGGTGCATATAGTCTCTTGCGTTCGTGTACAATCGAGCCAGAGTGCATCATTGGACAGCATTCCATACTTATGGAAGGTTCATTGGTGGAGACCCACTCCATCCTTGAAGCAGGGTCTGTGGTGCCCCCGGGGAGGAGGATCCCAACTGGTGAGCTTTGGGCTGGAAATCCAGCAAGGTTTGTAAGGACGCTGACCCATGAGGAGACATTAGAGATCCCAAAACTTTCTGTTGCAATTAATGATCTCAGCAAGAGTTATTTTTCAGAGTTCCTACCGTATTCGACTGTATATTTGGAGGTTGAGAAGATGAAGAAAACCTTGGGGATCTCGATTTGAAGATTTTGGGTATTGTGTTTCGATGTATCGGTTGTTTGGTTACCTCGGAGGTAAATAATTGAGCTTCAAGATTTACATGTGAGGCTTTTGAGTTCCTTGTTTCGTATGTTATTGAAATAGCCAGCGCAGGAACTGGTTGTGAATTCAATTAAGTCCCTAAGCTGTCTAAATTGAAGCAATCAGCTGATATACAAGTTCAGAAGTGAAATTGGAATGTGTATTATGGATGTTTTTATTCGTTTGTTTTAACGAAATAGTAAACGGCGGACTAATGTTGTGTTTGGTACGTGGGATTAAGATTAGGAATGGAATATGCATTTCTTAGTAATGCTTATTCTGATGTTTAGTTGGCAGGAATTAAAACTCATTCCCATTTCTTAGAAGTAATTAATCTCACAAATCATTGGCTTAGGCATTACCAAATATATCATAGTATTTCCCATTCCATTTTCACCGACAGAACACCATCCATCCGCGAACAAAGCACCCGATCTCTCCTTTTTGTTCCCGATTGTCGGTATCTCACTACTGACATCGTTGCTATGGTCAGTCACGATCCCTTCTTCTTCCTCGCTAATAGTCATGGCAGCCCACCCCTCTCCCAATCACTTTCTGCTATGGAATGTGTATTTCATTCCAGGACTTAATCCCCAGTAATTACTAAACATTAGAACGGTAATGTAGTTTCATCCATCGCACTGGTTAAACAAATTGGTCCTTCACAAACCCAACTCAACACGACATAAATCTATATTTATATTTATATTTATTTATTTAAATATATCAACTTCTGCAAAAAAAAATTAATTTCTTATTTTATCCTTAATTATTATGATAAAGTCAATTATACCCACTATATGTTTTCATTTAAATTTTATTTTTTTACCGATATTTGACTTTTAACTTATTTTGGACTCTTTTATAAGGACTTTTACATTCTTTTTAACTCATTTATTAATAGTACAGTTGCATAGAATTATATATATCTATATGAATAAGTAAAGAAATATATATTAAATTATTATACACATGTTATCCTTAATTATTATGATAAGATTTTTGATTTCCTATTTTATCCCTAATTATTTCCTTAAAGACAATTATGCCCACAAAATATTAGTTAGATAAACTTTATCTCAATGACTTCCAAATTTTTTGCTAGATAAACTTTATCACTAATATTCCAAAAATTTTGTTAGATAAACTTTATAACTACATATTAGCTAGATAAATTTTATTTTTATGACTTCCAAATTTTTTGCTTGATAAACTTTAACGGTATGACTTGCCAATATATTATTCTTTTCTATTTAATTCGGCAAACTCAACTAGAATTCTAATACCCTCAGAAAAAGATTGCTATTTTTTAGGTGATAAACACAACTATTGAAAATTTATTATTCATTGGTATATAATAAAATATTAGAAGAGTGAAAAGTCAAACCATATATTTTTCTTTCTTTCATACATGTTAGACTTTCAAAATATTTTGAACTCCTTTATTAGAGTATATATAGGTAAGTAGATTCCTATTTCTCTAGTAACTCCATTTAGGAGTGTTTAAATTTTTGATTAACTGTAATTTCTTACCCTACACTATCTTACTGAACAACTAGCAGTAAAAATTGGATAGGAATGTGGAAGAGGTTTTGGTCTTCCGATTAAATCGGGTAGAAATGCGGAATACACATCAATTTTCGCATTCCTACCCTACCTGCAAAAAATATATTCAAATTTTTTATATATTTTTTAGTAATTGTAAGAGTATTTGTGCGGTATAATTTATATTATAACATTGTTATTGTTGTGGATGTTTGAGTTGCGAAAACATGAACTTGTTTTTTGTGTTGGTTACATGATTTATGGTGAACTGGTGATCTATTGAAACAATTATGATTTTAATGTGTTTCATATGGTTTAAACTTAAGATAATTGTTATTGTATTTGTGTAACAATTATAATGGATTGATGTTCATACTTTCTTATGTTTTATTGTAATTATTGTTGTAGTTGTTTTAGATTTTAGTGTTATTGATTTATTGTGTTGCTAAATTGGTGTATGTTATTTAATTGAATTATTAAAATGATCCAAAAATTAATAATTACAAAAGTGTTTAATCGACTTTCTACCCGATTAATTAGGTAGGAAGTCAGGTAGAAATACCACACCTGATCGGGTAGGGTAGGCCAAGAAAAAACTCTTCCGCAAAGTATCGGGTAGGAAGATGGAAGACTATATTTCCTACCTATAGGGTAGGGTTAACACCCCTAACTCTATTAACGCATTTGGTCTTATATCTCTGCAATAAAATTTTTCTTCAAAATCCATTAAAATTAGTGGCCTTGCATCTCTATCCTCTAGACGTTAAGCATATTGTGACTGTGAAGATTGGTGGGTCAGTGATGCTTGGTGTTGTCAATCTATAAGTTTTTTTTTTTCTCTATCAGAACATGCCTATTGCTAGTATGATATTTTCTTTACTTTGTTTTCCATTTGTTTGAGTATGGTCACTGCATAAATACTTTGTTTGCCTTACAACAGTTTTTGGAATTGAAATTAAAATTAATTTGTATTCAATTGAATTGGTGTTCCCATTAAAGTACTAATGAACGCCCAAAAAAAGAAACTATTCATGGAATGAAGAGTTTAATCTGCATTGGAAATTAAACTAATCTCCTAATATTTAATTGTTTATTATTAGCGGGTTTGTAGTGTTTTAAGAGTTGTTATTATATTATGAGTATAATTAGTTTTGTTCCCAGACTTCTTGAATTCATGTGGTGGTCGAATAGTTTTAGATTAATAAATTATATTTAGGAGTTTTCTTGGTCTTGCATTGTAATGCCAAAAAAGTCTTTTTGGATTCAAGAGGCCATTGAATGCATATAGTCTTTTGCTTTGTTATCTTCATACACTTTGTATTTCTAAAAAATATAATCAAAATTTTATGATTAAAGTTTTTTCATGTGTAACGCATGTCTGCATTAGTAGTCCAACTAAATATTTATATAATAAAGTGCAATACAATTTAAATATCAAAAGTTAAATAAAATGACTTTTACTTTTGACTATTGAGATCTTTTTAAATTTTGTTTTAAAGTTAATTTGACAACTAATATTAACACTCCAAATTTAAAGGAAAAATAGGTCCCTAAATGTGTGTTTGGGATGCATTTTTAAAAGTATTTTTAGAACTTATAACTTATGATAAATATTTAAAAAAAAAATAGTGTTTAAAACCGTCCTACCACCGCAACTACCGCCGCCGCAATCCCACGACCACCACCATACCTACCGCCCCACCGCATCACTAATGGTACCACCACCACCAACGTCACCACCTCACTACCTCTGCCACAAAAACTAGCACTATTATCTCCACTATCCCATCATTACCCCCTACCACCACCATCTTCACCTCAGTCGCGACCTCACTAGCACCACCACTATCGTCGCCATCCCTACCCCCATCATTGCCACTCACTACTGATTGTTATCACCGTCGTCCACCGACACCACCCACTACCATTGTTATCTCAATATTATATTTATTATCAGTACTACTATTATCTCACTACCACCGTCAGCACCCACTACTACCATTGTTGCCCACCACCACCTACCACCACCCACTACCACAACCCATTATCACCCTGTTCTCGCCCATCATTGTTGTCAGCCATTGTCACTCACCCCTACCACACCTATCACCACCAACGACCACCACCCGTCATCGTCCACCACTAATCATCGTCCACCACTGCGTCCATCCACTATCACCCACCCTCACCACCACCACCACCACCATCACCATCACCATTACCGCCATTTGCCACCATCCATTACATTGTCGCTCAGAAGCACTTGTTGTCGCCCATTGCCACCATCATCACCGCCCACCACCACCACCACTATTGTCGCCCCACCATCACTACTACTAACCACCATCATCGTCACCCACTAGCACTACTGCCGTCACTTATAACTGTCACTTTCACCATCTTCAACCAAAACCCATCACCATCATCACCGTTGTCACCCATGACTGCTACCACCACCACGATCGTTGCCGCCAGCCACAACCATCACCTTTTCCCACCGCCACCACTGCCTCCCACCACCAGTACCACCGTTCACCCCCACTATAACAAATGTTTAAATTCATTTCTCTCTCTTCTATGTCTGTAATTTAATTTTGAGTGTGAATATAAATATGTTTATTGTTGATTATTTTTTTTATTATTCCGTGTCTTCAAGCATAGATAATAACTAGTGACTTATATACGACATGCATTCAACTCAACACAAACTTGATTATATGCAACTATGAATAAGTTGAATATGACTTAAATAAATATTTGATACGACTTACTAATAGGATACAACTTGACACTACATATTGACGGTTTTAGTGTATTATATTGTAGGTAGGCTTGTCAATCATGTCGGGTAAGACGAGTTTATGTCGAATGAGATGAGTTCGTGTTGAAAAACACTCCACCTATATTAGATTCATTTATTAATTCATATTTATCAAGTCGTGTCATATCGAATACGTATCGTATATGATTCATGTATAACCGGTATACAAACGAGGTGTATCGTATATTTCTTTTGATTGATTTCACCCATACCCAATTTATCTTTTAATTGTATTATGTTGGATCCACTCATTTACGAAATAAATGATTTGATGAAGATTCAAACCCTCTAATTTCATGTGGTGTTGGATTTATATCGTAGAGAAGAAATATTCTACTTCTCTTGCTGCAAATCTAGAGCACCAACCAAGCTTAAGCAAATCTGGAAATCTGGATTTATATCGTAGAGAAGAAATATTCTACTTGTCTTGCTGCAAATCTGGAGCACCAACCAAGCTTAAGCAAGCTCCTCAATTATAAGATAATAACTCGTGG